GATAAATATTTTTCTTTAACTTGTGAAAAATCAAATCTTTTAAAGCAATTGCTGAACCTTACCTTTCAAGGAGAAAAGTAGTTTGAACTTTGATAAGCGGGTATACCAAAAATGTGTGTACTCACACACAGAGATACACACATTAGCATTTCCACAATGTCACATGCCAAAGAAAGTCAGTTACAATGATTCCTCCTAAAGATATAATTTTTCAAGAGAAGCACCAAAAAGTGTTAGTTTGAAGCTGTAGTTTTTTAAGACTTAATAAAAAAAAGTCATAAATGATATATTCATTTTGCAAGAGTTCCCTCTGCAGTTACATGACGGGGTAGCAGGCATCCAGAGCAATGCCACACTGATCATTCTGGTTGCGTGCCATCTGGATGTATCCCTGATCTCCGAAGGAAGTTCCCCAGCTGTTCTTTACGAGCCAGTAGTCTTGTCCATTCAGAGTGCCGTAGCCCACAGCTAACAGCTGATTCACATTCTGAGTGCATGATGGGTCATTATACACTCCACTCCTATATAAAATAAACGTGGGCCGCCTAGCATCAATTCCCACTGAAATGGGTCCAATGGTAGCAAGACCCTGCTTCAGAGCGTTCTCGTCCCCTTCAGGCAGACACTGGTAACTGGAGCAGTTGGCAGCACGGGTTGCTGGGTTGTAGTGGCACTGATCATCCTGAAGTTAAAGAAAAAAATGTTAAAGGATCTGATGCAGTCAGGAAAGAACTTCATACACATTAAAAAAATCTAAAAATATTCTTGTTTTACAACATACAGGGTTGCCCTATGGCAGAATTGGAGAATTGGGAGGGACACCAACAAATTGAAAATATATTCATTAACTAGGTTTTTGAACTCAGTTAAAATCACTCCTTTAGTCTTGTAGGCTCTCCATTGATTGGACTGCATCTCACTTCTCAAAGGAATAAGTCAGTGGTGTCATAATTTGCACTTCAGGACAAAAATAAACCTAAAGACTGTTGCAAACTACATAGATATTGTCATAATTTCCATGCTTGATATTTTTGGTAAGGATAGTCACTGAGTATTTCACATTACAAAGTTCTTGTTTTGTTTTTGTTTTTTCATTTTTTTTTATTTTTATTTTCTTTTGGCTAAATTAAAAACATTGCCACCCCCGCGAGGCTGGAACAGTCTGTTGAATCGTCTCAGAACTGGCCTCCTCCACACAAACAACAGCGAACTACATAAAGCCTGGAGGACAAACATGTTGTCCGCTCCGATTAATTTATTGTTGCTCCAAAGAGACGTTAACAGCTGACCACAGACAAGTGTGAGTGTTGCTGTCTACAGCCTGAAGGATCGGACTCAACTTCTTGCTGGTGTTTATACACCCACCTAGGTGTCTCATACAGGGTTTTGTAAAGCTTGTGTTAGAGTCCTATGTTTAAATTTTTGTAAAAGTTTTGTAAAAGTTGGCTTGTTGGAACAGAATATACTGATTTCAAATTATTTAAACTCTGTTATTAATTGAATATAATATAAAGACGGTATAAACTAGGATTATATTAGGATTTTATTAAAAACATAACATTTCTTAATTAAAAGTTTACAAATTGTTTTTATTTCTACACACATTTTAAACTAAGACATGTTTTTCTTTATATAATCATAATAAAATCCTAGTTTATGTTTATCTTTATGAGCAAAAAATAACTTTGCTACTGTCTACTCCATTTTTGTTGTAAATAATGAATTTTGATATTTGGCCTTCTGTTAACGAAGAAGGAGGTACACTTTATTAATCCCATTGGAAATTAGTCCACTGCATTTAATCATTCACTCAGTGAAGCAACCACCAATACAGTGTCCGGGGAGCGGTGTGTAGAGATGCTGAGGAAAGTACCTTTCTTAGGGGTACTTGCTTCTCATATGTTTAATATTTGTATTAACTATATTTGTCCCTACTAACCTGGAGATGGCTGATTAATGAAAGGAGGGTGACAGGGATTGTGATGAATTACTATTTTAACTGAGATTTTGTTTTTGCCTTGGAATTATCACTTAAATAAGTGCTGAATGTTCTTTTAGCACAGAAGTGTGCACATGAGATCACACATGCATGTATGTTTACTTACATGTCCTGTATATGGGTATGAAGCATCAGAGTCAATTCCGTGGTTGTCAATGACATATTGGAAAGCTCGGTCTATGTAGCCTCCGTTGCAGCCTTCGTTACCATATTTGCCAGAACAATCCACCAGGTTTTGGGGACTGAGATCCACCAGCTTTCCTGTTGTCTTGGCTAACTGACCTTCCAGGGCCCCTGCAACACTGAAGGCCCAGCAAGCTCCACAAGCACCCTGAATAAAAAAAAAAAAACTAATGTCATGCTCATATTCTTAAGTCTTCCTCTAAATGTCCACTTTAAGAGCACAGAAGCACTTTTTATAACTCCAATTCCAAAAATATTGGACCGCTGTGTAAAATGTAAATACAAACAGAATGCAATGATTTTCAAATCCAATATTTCATTTATAGTAGAACATAAAAACTATTTCATACTATTTCATGTCAGATATTAGCTCATTCTACATTTCATGTTAGCAAACGTTGTCTCAAAAAATTTAGGCCACTGACAACCAAAGGCTGGGAAGGCTACAAAGAAACAGCTGGAAGAACACTTTTCAAATAACAAGGTTACTGGCAACAGGTCAGTAACATGATTGGGCATTAAAAACATCTTAGACAGGCAGAGTTTGTCAGAAGTAAAGACTGTCAGGGGTTCACCAATTTTTTTTCACTAAAAACTGCTTATATGAACTGTGAAATATTTTTAGAAGAATGTTCCTCAACATAAAATTGTAAAGACTTTGAACATCTCAATATCCTGTTTTCTAACATACATGATTTATTTTATAATCTTATCATATCATATAAAAAATGCAAAAATATAAATAAATAAATATGCACTGCTTTAAAACAGTGATGATTGCTATGTTCTAGTGTGAATACAGTACAGTTTTATGAGATTTGCAAATTATTGCGTTCTGTTTTTTGTTTTTTTTTCAACAGTGTTAAACCTTTTTTGGGATGTAAAACTATGAAACAACATAAAAAAATAACAAACAAAAAAACCCCAGAGAACTTTCAGGGTTCAGTAAACGAGAGGCAGTCATCTTCTTCGTAGTAGTAAAAGTGGATATGGTGAAATTCTTCTCGTGCAAACATGAACTGATTCTTCTCAGCAGCACTAATACACAAACCCTGATTTAAATGACCTCTTTTTTTTACCTGCATCTTGACACTGGTGACATAACCCTTCTCTCTCCAGTCCACAGTGTCTGGTATGCCAGAACCTGATGCCCCTGCAAAGGGAGATGGCGCCCTCTGGATGCCAGTGGGAGGTTTGAGGGTTGCAAAAGACTGCAGGATCTCTTCTTCTGTCTATGAGGAAGAACACAAATTATGGAATGAGACACAAATATCTGTTACAATCAGCCTTTTCTGTCTGAATGTGGAAATTCCAGTTCATTTAATGGATGTAGGATTATTTTGGCAGTTTTTTGATGTCGCTTTCAATTAAATAATAAAAAACACTTGACATTTTTAATTCATGAAAATGCTATATTATTATTCAAGTTTTTGTTGATTTTTGCTACAATCATTTTATATGTTCCCAAAACTGGGAACATTTAAAAAAATTTTTTTTCCCTCAAACTAATTATTTGTTGATTGTGGATAACCTCTCCAGGACAATAAGAGCCTTTTTAATATTGATTGAATGGAGAGAGCAGTCAAAAAAGAGATAACACTCTTGACAGTATGCAAAATAAAACCAATGTGTTAAAAAAGGTAAACATGTTTCACTGTCCACTTTATATACAGTAATCTGTGTCTGTCCTTTTCAAATCTGATTCCTCTCAGGAATCACATTTGTTTCTTTTGGTATAGATGAAGTCAATAAATAAACAGAATGGACTCAGTTCTGTCTGAATGCTCAAAAACATTCTCCAACATAGACTAAGGTGAAGCAGGTCACTGACCAGACAACGGTTGAGATTCCAGTATGCAGTCTGAGTGCTTTGGTTATTCATTAAGTTAGCTCAGGAATATACTGTAGGGTCTTGACTTGGAGAATAGATCCTAGTCAGCCTGATGATTATTTGAGCTAAGAGGAGAAATCACCTCATTACTCCAGTCAAGTCTCAAAGGCCAGAACCAAAACTCTGCAGCTAATCAGGAAAGAAAGGTTAGAAGAGCCAAAGGGTTAAAGGTAAAGCTTGGTGCTTTACCAGTTAATGTTGCTAATTTACATTCTGCAGAAAGTTAAAGCAAAGGTACCATAATTTATTTTTTGAATATTTGATAGTTTTTTTAAACTCAGTTTAAGTGTTACCACAGCATATTGAAATGTTATGAATGCTAACCGAATAAATTAAGACACCTGAGATAAAATTAGCAATGTGAAACTATACATGTGTGCCCCAACATATGTTTAATATTAGCCTGCTTGACTTGTATTTGTTTTTGTTAGAGGTTAGAGCCTGCATTAATTGATAAAGCACCCAAAAGACACTAAATACAAAATATGAAGACACTGAAACATGAAAACTGACACGGAACATAAAGACAGAGAAAGGGGAACTCAGAAAACAAAAATAGGGAAACCAGAAACATGAAGTGCCAGTAATCTGTCATCTATTCATAGCTACTCTTTAAGACAGATCAGCTTTAATTCTGTTGACCTTTTCAACATCATTAATACAATCACCATTAATGAATAAAAAATATCATAAGTCAAAAACATTAATGAAGCAAGAGAGTGTCTCACCAGGTCTCCCATGTGATTCATGCCCAGTTCATAGGTGTGAAGTCCCATTGAGGCCTCCAGGTTGTGCACGGTAATCATCTTCAGGTTATTCTCCCACAGCTTGCGGCGGTGAGCATCCTCCACCTCACATAAAGAAAGAGCAGATGAGGTGAAAATGCCATATAAGTTAATTATAAGCCTTGTGCAGAGTTTGTACATACAAATATAACACTTCAAAAAAATATTTATTACTACTACTTTTTGTCACATACATCTTTTTTGTAGCTCTTCCCATGTGTCTTCTTCCACAGCTCCCAGTGTGCGTCCAGTGTGGATTCAAACATGGCTGCTGCCCCGGCACACAGGGAGATGAGCAGCAACAGCAGGCCTGCAAACACACAAACATAGACGATGACACGAGAAGACAGGATGTCACCTGACTTTTGATGAGACTGATGCTCACTAACACACTGAGAAAACAACCTGCCTGGCAAAGAGCTCAAGTTTCCAGTCAGAAACAGACCTTAGTTTCATAAAAACCACACATAGAGACTCTGGCACGACACAGGCCAAAATATTTTCAGAGTTGTGTTACATGTTGACAAAAAGAAAACAACAAAAAGATGGAGATAGGCGTTTAGTAACTCTAAAGGGTCAAAAGAGGCCACAATTATTTTTCTAGATACATCCATGGTTATTTTTCCCAAATGAAAAGGCATTTTTTTCACAATTTTACTGTCTCTAATTCTCAGAATGGGGACAAAACACAATTGTAAATATTGGTTTACGTCACTTGTTATCAGATTGCTGGCAATAAATCTAAACCAAACTGATCTAGGTCACTTCTGCGTCTCAGAAACAGGGCATAAACATATCAGAATGTACTAGAATCAACAAAAAGGTCTCAAAATACAAAAAGGGAGAGTGTTTGGAAAGTTTTCTTACAATGACCAAGATGAAATATACAAAACTGTAGACATTGAAGTGATTCCACTGAAAACTGCTGTTTGAACTCAGAGTTTAAGCATGTTACCAGGCTGTAATTGGTGCTGATGTTGTCTTCAGGGGTTTTATACCAAGGTGGCTCATTGGCCCCATCTACATAGCAAATAGTGATGTGTCAGTCGCGAACGAAATTGCTCTTTGAGCCGACTCTTTGAAGTGAACGACGCAAGGCGTGTTTTTTTTTTTCTTTCTCTCACCCTTTCTCTCGCACTGTTTTTCCGCTCCACTCCACATGCGAGCCTTGTGCTTGCACTGAGCAGAGGGGGGAGGGGCGGTAGTTAAACTCGCAGTAGCACAGGAACAGAGCAGGAGGGTAAGAGAGCCAAGGACAACAACGTCACATCAGAAAGGTACAGTGGGAATAACGGCGCTACAAGTAACGGCGTTACTTTTTCAGTAACGAGTAATCTAACTAATTACTGTTCCTATCGTTACAATGCCGTTACAGTTACTAACAAGAAAATGCGGTCCGTTACTATTTTTCAACAAACAGACGTTTGAAGCTGTGTTCAGCTCACCGCATCTTATATCAGTTGCACAGAAGCAGCTGTAAGTAATCTGGGCGATACAGCTTTAAGCAGCTGCGCGCGCTCCCGCGGACGGTAATCACGATCACTGTCTAGCACAACACCTGGAGCTAAGGGGGCAAAACAATGGCATGAGTGCTGCTGTTTGACTGAGGAAGAATAAAGTAGTCGTGGTAAGCCAATCACACGGCCACTTAAAGACAAAGCAACAAGGTGATATATACCAGTTTTTAAACTGTGTTTATAGGCCACGTAAAACCAGAGTCATGATAAACAATATATACGTGTGTTTTTTCCTCAATAGTTTCGTCACGTTTACTGTCTAAGGACAGCGCTAGCAAGCACGCTCTGCTTATGAGCAAAAAATAAAAAACAAAAAAAAAACAGCCTTTCGGTTGGATGAGAAAGAGACGAGAGAGAGAGAGAGGGGAGAGAGAGAGAGAGAGAGAGAGAGAGAGAAGAGAGAGAGAGAGAGAGAGAGAGAGAGAGAGAGAGAGAGAGAGAGAGAGAGTTTTGAGATGTGAGAGATTTGTGACGTTTAGCGTGTTTGAGTGTGTAGTTAATGTGTTGTCTTGTGTAGTTAGTGTGTAGTGTTGTGGATAGTTTTGTGTTGTGTGTCAGAACAATGAGGCGACTGTTTTTTTTTTGGAGTGGCACAAATAATTTGTGTGGCATCTTATTGAATGCAGAACAGCTGATTGTTCTGTAAATAGTTTGAAATGGTTATTTAAAAAATCAAGGTAAAAGGTAAATGGATGCAAATAACTTTGTTGTTTGCAAAACTTGTGCATAGGATTTTAAAATTGACAATTTATATTTGCATTTAAAGTTATGAAATATGATTCATTAAACATGTTTGTGGTTGTTAAAAAATATAACTTTTTCTACTCTGATTTTATGTTTTTTGTCTGATTTTAGATCAATTGTGTTAATACAGTATGTCAAAATGAAAACATAACTGTAAATTCAGACACGTGAGGTTGTGCTGAAAAGGATGATACCAAACAAGGCAAAGTAAATAGTTTTTAAAGGTGAAATGTGGAGGGAAAATCAAAAGTAGTTAAAAATGGCCAATTATACCCTGGACCCCAGAGGGTTAAACGTTTTTTTTAAAGTAACGCAATAGTTACTTTTCAAGTAATTAATTACTTTTAGAATATTGTAACTCAGTTACTAACTCAGTTACTTTTTTGAAGAAGTAACTAGTAACTATAATTAATTACTTTTTCAAAGTAACTTGCCCAACACTGGAAAGGTATAGTAATCATCCACAATTTTCAGTTGTGGATGATAAAGGATTCAGAAAGTTTATTCATGCAGACCTATATGACAGAGAATGTGGATCTTTTTGTTTTGCATATTTTAATCTAGATTTAATTGTGTTGTGGTTTGCGGTGTTTTGTGTTGTTTCACTTTAAAGCTGAAAGTTTAAATAGTTAAAAGTTGAAATGTAAATAGTTGTTCTTATGTATTATATGATTTATTGATTACATTTTATGTGGAGTGAATAAACAAAAGTATATTTACGGTGGCCCCAAAACACGTGCAAACTCCAAAACACAACAGAAGTGCTCCAGGATGCTAGGCACAGTGTTGAGCTTTTGTTACCTACACATGCCAAGAAGTACCAACGACTGGATTTGGTGTGCAACAGGTAAATGAACATTTTTTTTAAATTATTTGACTATATATGAGTGCTTGTGTATAAATACACAAACAATACACATATGCTTTCAATTGTGTAATTTAAGTGATCTGGGTAGCTCTGTTTTGGAAGTTCAGTTAACGCTAGAAATGTGTTTTGGAGTTTGTAAATGCTTCAGAGTTTTTACATGCTTTTTGGAGTTTGTACAAGCTTTGTCTCCAAGGACCACCATTTATATTTATGTGTAAATATATAAATAAATAAAACCACGTTGTTTGCATGATTTTATATTGTTGTTGATAATAAATTAATTAAAGCAACAAAACAAACTGAAGAGTCGGTTGGGAGCTGAAAGAGCCGGGTTTTTTTTAGTGAGGCGAGCCGAAAGAGCCGGTTCTCTAAAAAGAGCCGGAATTCTCATCACTAATAGCAAAAGTCACTTTTAAAAAAACAGCTTTTTGCACAGATCACTGTGTCTTTAGGGTCTCTGTGTTAAGAGAAGTCTCAAGTATCACTTCTACATATTTAAGGCTGTGCAAATTTTTCAAAATGACTCCACAGTCACAAGACCTTAAGTGAAACTTATGAATAAGGGAGAGAGACAGTTTTCTCTGAGGGTTAGAAATATGGAATTGGAAACTTGGAGAATGGAAAATGATATTATGGCAATCCACTTATTAGAATTTTATATTTAATTCATTGAAACTAATCAGAAAGGTCAGGAAGGTCATTAAAAATCTTGGAAGTTAATTCTGCAGTTACAGGAATAAGTGGTTCTGGAAAGAAGTGAAGGTCAAAATAAATATTTGACCTGTCAGCTGTAAATGAAAGATCATGAGGTCAGTACGTTGTCTGCTGTTGGATGAACACAGAAAACTGAAAGAGGAACAAACCAAATCATGCATTTCAGTCATGAACATATAAGTTCAAGCAATGGTTTCATGGCACTACATGCTTTTATAGAGTAATTCAGCACCATATAAATAATAATCATTAATGCAAACTCCTTGTGGTGCCAACTATGGCCAAAAAAATACAAACGTCACTCATTTTCCTACATGAAAATAGTCATGGAGTTAGTGTTGGAGTGATGGTGTTTCTTACTTCAAAAAATATAGAAATATTGCACATTTAGTAGAATAATTAAATTATAAATATAAACACAACAGCCACTTTATATACCTGTTAAACCACTCATTAAAACAATGACTGATTGTCAACCAGTGCCATGGCAGCCACTCACTGCATTTAGGCACATAGACAGGTCAAGATAACCTGCTGTTCAAAATTTGAAAATATCCATTGATATTATAGGAAGGAAAAGTAATTCAAAAAAAAATCAGTAATTATAACCAAGGTGTGTAGAAAAGTATTCCAAATCTTTGAATGCACAACATGTCAAGCAGCTGTTATGGCCGGTCTAGGGGTGGGGTGTTCAGAGTAAATGCTTAAGTGTATATTCGTCTTATAGTAGTCTAAGCAAAGCCCGTTCCCTAGTCTGTTCACACGATGGGGTAGCTAGCGAGGTTGGTGATGCTGCAGACGTTGCCACGGTTATGTGCCATCAAGATGTATCCCTTGTTGCCCCATTCCTCACCCCAGCTGTGAAGAAAAGACAAAAGATGGACTTGGAAATGACGGAGAAAATGAAATATCACCAGGAGTCAAACAGCATTTCAGCTTATCATTTTGACAGATGACATGAAAACAACAAC